ATGTGCTTGTTTATCTTTTACCAAGATCAAGCTTGTTCCATGGGTAAATTGCAGTCTATAAGTGAAGCCAAGATGATGGGAGCAATTAAGATAATTGGTGTTGACACCAATAATGATCATTCTCATAAACCCTCTTCTCAATTAGTGAAGGACCTCACTAATGGTGGAGTAGGTGCGGATTATTCATTGGAGTGCACAGGTGTTGCCCCTTTGCTAACTCAAGCATTTTCACTCAAGTATAAATAAATCTTGTGTTATTGCATAACTTGTTTTTTTTTTAAATACTGCATATGGATTATTTCAAAAAAAAATTAAAGAAATTTTGAAATCTCTAAAGTTTTATTTCATGAAAAACTCATCATGTATTTTCCTCATGATAATGTATGTTACAGCAAGGATTGTTAATGTAGATATGACTTTATATATTGACAATCTTGATAACTGTATTTTTTTTTAATTCAAATTTACAGAGGACAATCTTTTAAATCATAAAAGTATTTTTATCATTTTTTTTGAAATAAATTCAATATATATTAACCAAAATAAAACATGTATTCTGTTTTGCGATCAAAGGATTTTGAAAAGAATTTATATTCCAACTCTATTTACAATATACACATCGGGGCAGGGCGCTGGAAAGGCAATGGCAATTGGTGCAGGAACAGAATAATTTGTTGAGATCATCTTGGTTGGGCCTTCTTATTGGTTGAACTTTGAAGGGTTTCATTTTTGGAAGCTTAAAGCCCAAATCAAGCCTCCCTATTTCGGCTGCCAAATGCAAACGCAAGGAGAATAGTTTCTATACACAAATTTCAATTGCATTAGATGTGTAAGGGAAAATTGCAAATAAGTCTCAATTAAGGGTCCACAAATTAAAAAAAAAAAAAGGATACTCTCAAGTTTTGTTGGACTTGATTATAATAAAATTCAACTGTAAGACAATACAAATATCCTTAAATCCACACTCTCTTTTACTAGAACTTTGGCCAGTGTTAACTAGTTGCTGGCAGTTGTTGATTAATCAACCTTTGGTCAAAGAAAATGATTGTTTTTAAAAAATTTAACATTCATGTTTCCAAGTCAAACATTTGACATTTACTTATCAAATATTTGAAACTTATAAGTTAAACATACATTTATAAATGAATCTAAGAATCTTTTTAATATTTGTAAGTGAAATTTTATGAATTTACCAATGAAACCTTATCAATCTACAAGTACTTCTCAAATTTACAAGTTGAAGTTCCAGCCGAAGAGGGTGAATCATCTTGTAGTAAAAACTAATTACAACAAAGTGCCACGGGAATTGAAATATTTTATCTTATTTTTAAATGAGACCCTTGATTGAGACTTATTCATAATTTTTATTTTCATATACAATTAGTAATATAAATCAGAATGCACGCGTTTAATTTTGTACACATCCTGATCAATTATAAACTTAATTAACAATCTTAAGAAATTAAAGTTTCAGGGCTTGTTTAATTTCTGTTCTTATTTTTTGTTTTTAAAATATGTTTTATAATACAATTTTTATAATCATTTTTCAAAATAAAACAAAATAAAAATCTGTTTGGTGTATTAATTTAAAAAGTTTTTGAATTAAAAAATAGATTAATAGTGATAGTTATAAACGATCAATGGTGTGGTAATTTATGAGAAAAATTAATTAAGATAACTATAATTTTGATGCTTATGTAATATATTTGAAAACAAGAAAAATAAAATAAAAACTGGTTGAAATTGTTTCTATTTTCTTGTTTTAAAAAGCAAAAAAATAAAAGCAATTTTGAAAATAATAAAATCACAAACACTTACTCGAATAAATTTTTAAATTTTTTATTTTTAAAAATAAAAAAACAGTTTTTAAAGATTCAAAACAAACAGACACTACGGGCCTGTTTGTTTTCTAATTTTAAAAATTATTTTTTGTTTTTAAAAATAAGAAAATAAAGAAATTTATTTGGAAAAGCATTCTTCATTTAATTATTTTTAACTTTTTTTATTTTTTATTTTTAAAAATAAAAAATAGAAACAACTTTAAGTTGTTTTCATTTTTTTACTTTTAAAAAACATTATATTTAATTATTAAAAATTATAGTTATTTTAATCAGTTTTTATTATTAATCACCACCATTAACTGCTTATAACTATTACTATTGGTCTGTTTTTTAATTCTAAAATTATTTTATAATTAATATAACAAAATAAATTTTCATTTTATTTTGTTTTAAAAGTAATTTTAAAAGCCATATCACAAAGCAGTTTTTAAAAATAAAAAATGAAAACAAAAACCAAACAGACCCTAATACTTCAGTCACGCTCTAGTTTATTTTTGTTAAGAGATATTATATCGTCGGGAAAACAAAAATTATAAGAGGAAAACCATATACTTGCATTTGAAAGCATTTATTATTTACATTATCTAGATTTGATTTGAGAGGTTGATATCATTGCTTGGTTGATTTGATGGGCAGGAGATTAACATAATTTTGTATCCAACTTTACTTAAAATAAAGCATGTTAAAAATTAATTATAAATATTAAAAATATAATAGGTACAACTTAAATTTGGAGGGTCTAAATAAAGTTTGCTAATAATACACATCTTAAGTACAAATACGAAATCTTGATTCGAGCTCCACATGCATATTCAATCTAGATCATTGCCAGAAACTCTTCAAAAATGCGCCAAGAAAAAAATCTTATTGTAAATAAATGACCTGATTAATTAGAAATAATTAATAGAGCATAATAATTAATTGTTTTCCTCCTGTTTACAGGATTTCCTCTCGATAAACTTCAAAACCATGAGTCCCTTTAACAGAGGTAGGCAAAACATTTGAGCTATTGAAACGACCAGATTGTGTCAAAGTTATCATTAAAATATGATGTTCATTTCCATTTGACTCTTAGAAATTAAAGAAACACATCTCATTATTATTTTTATTTCTTGCTTTGTTCTTTAAAATTTCTGTGATTATACATCGAGTGTCATTTTTACCTCTCAATTGCTCGCTCAAAAGCATATGATTTTCTTAACTTATGTAATGCAATTTCTCCCTTCAACATTCAAAAATGGTACATTAAATATTTTGCCGTTAAAAAATTAACTTTAATTAGTTGATTTTAAAATTGAAAAAAAAATCTCATTCTATAAAATAAGACCCAAAAAATTGCACATAAATATCTTATAAAAAATTAATATAAATTAAATTCCTTAAATTATATATAAATACCTGGACATGTACACTTGTTATTTCTTATCCAAGTAGAAGACCAAAGGAAAATTTTGATCAACTAGTTTAACTAGCTACTAGGTAATTAATGGATCACAATTATTGGTATAACAACACTAATAAATTGTTAAAAAATATTATATTTGTTTTAATAATATCATATTAAAATATTGACAATTTAATATATTTAGATTATTATTATTACTGCTATTATTTATAAATCTTCACACACAATTTATAACTTAACTTTTGATATTCACACACATTATCTAGAAATTTATAACTTAACTAGTGTATATGATATTTACAAAATAAACATGCTTTTTATACTAGTTGTAAATTTTTTAAGGACAACTTATAAATTTTGGAAGAAAACTTATAAATTATCACACAATATTAATGACTTAATCAATATTAATTTTTTTATAGGACACTTATTTGTAATTTTATATATTTTTTCTGTAATTTCTGAAACCTTTTTCTATAATTTTCTAGATTAACTAATTGTCATGTGTGTTGGCGTGAGCCTTTTCTATCAATAACAAGTGATAACATGCAGATGTAAAACGATTTACAGTAATAGATTTTCATTACCTTCAGAACTGCAAAAGGAGAGAATGCAGCAAAACTAGTATTAGTTATCCCTAGAATTTTGAGAGTGATCTCAATTATTGACCAACATAATATGTGACTAACAAGAATTAAAACCTAACGAAAATTTTAGATCAACCAAACATACATTCCTATGCATTGTAAATAATTTTGACTAGTGATCTCAAATTATTCACCAAAATATCGCATGACTAACAAGAAACATAATTGTTAAAACCTAATAAAAATTTAGATCAACCACACATATTTTCTTATGCTCGTATACAAAATCTAAAAATTGAGTTTCACTATTTACCTCTAATAAATGATGCAACTTGTTATACTTTTTGTTAAATGTTGAAATCAGCATTGACTGTGAGTAGGACAATATGGGACTTAACAATATTTTTGTGGTAGAGGGGATGTGCTCACATGTTTCACATTTAGCGATACCATGTTTCACCTAACAATTAAATAATGATAGTTGTTTATCATCAGCATCATTTCTTACTGGTCATCAATATATGGCTCTCAAGTCTTCTGCGTGTGTATTGTACAAAGCTTTCCACCATTCTTCCAACATTTCTCACGTTGTACCTAACCCCTTTGGTTCTCTATTTTCTTAAGTTCAATACTTGAGTTTTTAGTGTCCTAATCATTTATATCTCATCAAATTTCATTTCTTCCAGGTTACTGATTTCCAAATTTATCTCCTATTACATTTCTATACGTGCATTTGGGGAAATTATGGTGAGAGACCCCAAGAACTCACTTGTCTCGAAGTCGAGTTCAATTTCAATTCGAGATTCTCGCATCTAACAAATTGAGGGAGTCAGCTACAAACTTGCTTTCAAACGCGAAAGTAGAGCCATCTAAAATTTTGTCAGCCATTCAGATCAACCACTATTAGTTACACACAAGACAAGCGGCATATCCTCAAATATCATACAATGCACATGGCCTACAATCCAGTTATGAATATATTGATATTGATATTCTCCATGAAAAATGCTTGTATTAAATCTACCAACAATGTCCCACAAAGTTTGAATATCCAACCACTTTAAATTCACAAGTGAAAATTATTTATTTATGAGACATACCCTAGCCAATTCCACAACCCAAAACCTTTCTTCTTTTGAATCCGAAAGGTAAAGCAAGTTGAGCATAATGTCAAACAGCTCACAAGTCATAACATGCAAAGGTAACATATTATGACACTGGCCTGCAGTTTTCAATTTCTTCCTCATGTTTATTTTACGTGAATTTGATTTATAATGTTTTGTAAAATTTATCAATACTATACTTAAATGTTAAGGTCATAAAATTCATACATGAATTTGTCAGAGTGAGTCGATTAATTTCTGCGGTTGATGCATTGATTATATTTTGGGTTTGACTTGTGAAATTGTACATAGGTGCAATATGCTGGGGATTAGGGGAAGACGTGAAGGTGGAAGAGATACAAGTAGATCCACCTAAAGCTTCTGAAGCTCGAGTTAAGGTTCTTTGTGCTAGTGTTTGCCACACAGACATCTTGAGAGCTCGAGGTTTTCCTTGTGTGAGACTCTTTAATTCTCATCCACTTGAATTGAACCTCACAACACTCGCACACTGTATAAACAAAAAGGAATTATGTTTTGACAAGTGTCTAACATTCATATGCATAAATTTCGTTTGAATTGTATGGAGACTACAGAAATCTTCCTTTATTTTTAGGATATACACACAGTTCCCCTGAAAATAGAAATGATATGTATGATTTCAATAAAAAGGAAACATTCAAGTCTGTGTAATTCATTCTTTACTTACAGAGGAATTTGTGTAAACTTGAAAATTCATTCCTGAAGTAACGAAAACTTGAACACCCAAATCCATTTTGTCTTTTATTTATTCTATGGGCACGTTGATTTATTTTCATTGGTTTAATGCCACTAAGAGCATATTATACTCAATAAATTAAAAAGAATCTAAGACAAGTTGCACTTTTCATAGGTGATAAATATTGCAGCTCAGTTATGTACTAATCCAAATTGATGTGCAGCCTTCTTTTCCTCTAGCACTTGGGCACGAAGGAGTAGGGTAAGCTTCACAATCCATCACATTTATTCAAACACATATAATCAATTTATCAATCAATCACTTATCACTTATTCTATTGTATTAATCAACGAGCACCTTCCATCATTGTCATGAATGTAAATGCAGTGTTGTGGAGAGCATAGGGGAGAAAGTGACGAACCTGAAAGTAGGAGATTTAGTGATTCCAACATACATTGGAGAGTGTCAAGAATGTGAGACCTGTATCTCAGAGGAATCAAACATGTGCATGAGATATCCTTTCACAGTGAGTGGGCTAATGCCTGATGACACATCAAGGATTTCCATTAGAGGGCAGAAGGTGTACCATACGAGTAGCTGCTCAACATGGTGTGAGTACATGGTTAGTGATGCAAACTACCTTGTGAAAGTTGATCCAAGTATTGATTTGGCTCATGCTACCTTCATCTCTTGTGGATTTTCTACTGGTTTTGGGGCTGCTTGGAAGACAGCCCAAATTCAAAGTGGATCAACCATGGCCATTTTTGGCTTGGGAGCCGTTGGATTAGGGGTAAGTGCTTTTACCAAAACGACAATAACAAGTCTTATCTCACTAAGTGAGGTCAGCTATACTTCTACCAAAACAAAAAAATAAAAAATAAACAAAAAGGCACTTCTTTTCTAGTTTTCATAAGTATAGTTTATCATGACAAAGCTTGTTGTTTAATGGGTAATTAAATTACTTGTGATGCAGGCTATATGTGGTGCCAAGATGATGGGAGCAACTAAGATAATTGGGATTGACATAAATGAGAAGAAGAAAGAAAAAGGAGAAGCTTTTGGGATGACAGACTTCATAAATCCTAATGATCATTCTGATAAGCCTTCTTCTCAATTGGTGAAGGACCTCACTTGTGGACTTGGTGTGGATTATGCCATTGAGTGCATTGGTTTTGCCCCTGTGGTTACTCAAGCCCTAGAATCCACCAAAGTGGTAAACATACAGTACCTAATAGTCAATCATCATAATCATCTATATCAATCAACATATATATATATATATATATAATTTACAAAAAAAAAATCATATTGACAAATTGTACATGGTGCAGCTCGCTTGTGCAATGTATGAGTTTAATATCTAATTTGTTTATGTTTTGATATGGTTATCTAGTTAGGTTAGATTTGAGCACCATCAAGTGTAATCATAGGTATAATTTTTGTAAAGACATTTTCAACATTCATGGATTCAAACTATTAGATATAACAAATTTAGTGCCATTAATTTTTAATAAAAACTTCAGATATGTCTTGCAAACTCACGATTACTCCTATTTGTCTAATTTCAAATTGCATTAATAATTCTTTCTCTACCAGGGGAGAGGACAAGCAATAGCAATTGGTGCAGGAATAGAAGAATGTGTGCAAGTCAACCGGTTGGGTCTTCTTCTTGGAAGAACTTTAAAGGGTTCCATTTTTGGAGGCTTAAAACCAAAATCTCACCTTCCTATTTTAGCTACCAAATGCCAAAATAAGGTGAAATTCTCTACACACAAATCTAAGCTTCCTTGTTACAAAAAAAAAAAAAAAAAAAGATTCTGAATTTCCTATATTGTTAGTAATGTTAATCATGATGCATATCTATTATTTTGTGCAACACCTCAATTATATATCTAATCATGAATTGAGTTAAATTTCTATCTTTTTTTCCGGAGAATCCAAGTTTAATAATCATTTTTCAGTTAAACTTGCGTTTTAAAACGATCAGTATATCCTTGCGAGAAATGTTCAGATGACATGTATTACTTGCACAGAATGGCTTCATTTAAGATAAGTCATTCATGTAAGGTCCATACATTCGGATTTGATTTTACATATTAATAGTGTACTCCTGATATGCTTTTTATTTTTATGTGAATTGCCTGGATTTAATTTTAGGCAGTTCAAATATTATTATATTTTTTGTATTTTTAAATTAAATATTCCTCTTCCTTCTTTTTTCAATTTAAACATATTACTCCCTTCATTTATATTTATGACTAATCTTTAACTAATTTACGCAAACTAAGAAAATGGTTTAAGTTAATTGATATTTATAACATTAAAAGTCCTTTGAAAAAGACTTCTGTAAAATTTAATAAAGAAACCCTCAAATATGCACCATCCCAATCGAATCTAAACGATCTTAGTAGTATATATAGACACTAAGTGAAAATCAATGACCTGTACAGAACATTTGCTTTTGTGGAAAGAGAAATATTTGTTTAACGATGGACTACTTTTATCTCATTCACAGGATTTCCCTATCGATGAACTTGGGACCCATGAAGTCCCATTAACAGAGATAAGCAAAGCCTTTGAGCTCTTGAAACAGCCAGATTGTGTCAAAGTTCTCATCAAAATGTGTGACGTTTAACTCCATATGGTTCTCAGAACTCACAAGACAATAAAGGGGTCTCATTTCCTACATCTAAAACAATGTGTCCTAAGATTGTTTCCGTCTTGATAAATGTTTCTATTGTCACGCACAGAGTATGCGTTCCCCTTTGTCTTCGACTTTTCATGTTTATGATTTGCTTCAATCTCTTTGATACAAATATCAATGACAGTGAAATAACCTATTTCATAAATGAAAATATCTATATATAAATAACATTAAAATTATAGCAACTTACACTGTTCATCGGTTATGAACAATCTAGCTTATTTTTAGATTCTGTGAAGCATATGGGACCCATATACTTTAAAAAGCGAATAAAAATCAAGCAAATTAGTAGGAAGTTGTATTATTCAATGAACAATGCAGCTGTTTATATGAACTATGTGCCCTTAATAGTTTTCATAAGAAGTATAAGGGGAACATATGTAGTTCAAGTATATGGATCTCTTTTCGAAGAAACATGAAGAAAAGGCATCTGATAGAGAATATATAACAAGTCGTAAGTCAAGTAAATTCAATGCATATTCGTTTAGAAATTTAAATCATGCATAGAGGTTTAGAAGAAAAACAGATATCCCCCTGTTTCTACAGATTAAGATCAATTAAGAGCAAAATATTTCATAATGCGTTGCCAAATACTATGCATAAGATAAATTGCAAGACACACCGACATGTTTGAGATCAATAGTTTTCAATGCAAGGAAAATTGAGCATCTCGTCACAGGCCAAAAATTTTTTACCTCCAGCATGCAGAGTATGCAACAAAATGGAATCGCGAATGGTGATATTAATAATTGCATAAAACTAAACCTATCAAAACATATCACCATATAATGAATTGAGATGAGATTTAAGTCAAGGCAGAAAATACCAGTAACGAAAAAGGTGAGTTAGCTTTTATTGTGATAGCTTGCTCAAACAAGTTGTAGACGACAATTAGACAACAAGCTTGAATATTCATGAAGAGATCATCGGTCGTACGATCATTTTAGGATTCTCTGGTAGGTCATACACAAAATACGCCTGCAAAATTTAAATTGAAATCTTTCAAGGTGTTGACCTGCAACATGTTAAGCAATCATGAGAGTTTATCCAGAATGTTAATTTCTCCTTTTGGGAAAGGCACCTCAAACTCAGAGAGATAAGCTTCCCAAATAGGAGTCCTTTTTGTTTTCTTTTTAATCAAATCCTAAGTAGGAGTCTAAATAAATGTGTTATACTAAATCTTTACATTCACACTGTGCAATAGTAGCTTATAATTCTAACTAATTTTAGTCCATGACTCATAAATACCTTTTTCGTCGGTTGATATCAACAGTGGATGCTGGCTTTGACTTCGCATAAACATTTTCTGATTTGTTGTTTTTTATTTCGCTAATTGGTATTTAAATAAGCCGATTTTCACAAATATGCTTGTTATTTACATCAAATGAAGCGAAATTTGTGGACAATATTCGGAGATTCTTGCAGCAGCAGCGAATCTCAAAATTATATCACTACATATATCACGTGCTCTTGCAAAAAATTCAATTCCCTAAGACTGCTAACAGCATAATCAACAGAATCGCTCCTTCAATTGGTACTTCAAGACCTAAATAACAATTATGACCTATTCCCTGTGCATAGACCTTAATTTCTTAATCCCTTTCATACGCAACTTGATTGGGTCTAAAATTTGAAAGTTGCTCTGCGTCCTGCAATGTCCCTTTTCGATGAACAAGATGGTCTTAATAAGGACATCCATACCAAGAAATCAGTTTCATCAACGTTAATGATAGCTACTATTCCAGGTACAAAACAAATAAACTCAGGGCTAGAGCTGGGAATTTCACCGTATAATCTACAATTGTAAACAGAGAATCTTACGATGGCAAGGAAATGAAGAAACCCCTACCAACACCACCACCACCACCACGTGAAACAGATAATAACATCAATCGATGGATGAGGAAGAGGGATGCGAAAAATTGCAAATTACCTTCAGCTCGATGTCTTTGGACAAATGATTCATGTTGGGCTAGGCAGACGCCATGTTCCCCCTCCATCACTAGCTGCTCCAGAAGACAACTTTTGAGATGGAAGCTGACTCGAGTCTCGACCTACATCAAAACGAGCCGTTTGAAAGGTGGGTAAGAGAAAGCCGATGTGATTTTTTGTGTTCTGCCCTTGCAGGGCAATATCAACATGCATCACTGCTCAATTAGATTCTGGTACGTGAGATTCAACTTACAAAAAAAAAAAAAAAAAACAGAGAGCTCCTTTGTTGCAATTTTTTTTCATTTATAAGGTTCAAATATTTAATTTTAATTTTGATAATAAAGAAAATTAAATTGAGAGGATTACATTAAGTATCCTGTGACACAATTAACTTAGATTTTATAAGATTTAATTGCACTGCAAGGGATTAAAAGGGGAATATGTAATGCCAAGCGGTGTGGCTTGGTGCATGGTCGTTGATGAGATCTCCTTTCCATTCTTCTTTGTTTGCTTGGTTTATATGTATTTTGCTTTTATGGGTTCTCTCATGGTGGCCTTTCAATAATCAATTATGGTTTATCTTTTATTGATAAAAAGTGTGGGACCTTTGAGGTGGTTTCTTTAAACCCTGCTCCTTACAATGGTGTTGATATCAGTGACGGCATTTTTCTTCCTACAAATTACGGTAAGTAGATAGTGTAGATATTTTGCTAGCAAACTTGGCAAAGACTTGTTTCCTTGATCTTGTCATTAAGGTTTGGTTTGTGTGTGTGTGTGTGTTTTTTTTTTTTTTGTCTGTATTTTGTTGTAGGTTTTTTTGTTGTTCGACCTTTCTTTCATGTCTGTTTTCTTTATCTTCATTTTAATGAAAGTATCATCTTTTCCAGTTAAAAGAATTGTGTTAAAGGAGATATGTACATACTTTTTCTAATTAAATTACTTTCAGTTGAGTAATCACTAATGATGATGTTTTTTACAATGAGAGAAATACAACAAATATTACTACTTATTGTGCCAAAAAACAGTACATACAAGTCCTCCGCATTGCTACATGAAGCGTTAAGACCTCTTGAAATCCATACAAAGCTATTGCTTAATGATTTGTCAAGATTGCTTATAAAATCCACTAGCTCCATACAACCCCACTTTGGGTAAGTATTATATTACCTCTCAACAATTGAACCAGGGGAAGACAATCAGATTCAAGTTTGACTTTCTTAAAACCTTCAACTATGTACCACTTGAACCCTAGACATGTAGTCTCTATTCTGCTCACCATCAATTTTAGAGTTAACATCCAAAAACCCATCTACATGAAAGTAAAGTAAAGGACATTAGAAGGTCACTCTTCTTTTGGTCTAAAAAAATGGATTAGATACAATCTAAATTAATAAATAAAAAACAAAAAAGGATCAAAATAGATATTTTTCTAATTTGATTCTATGTTAATTCAAAGAAAAAGAGAGTTTTCCCTTTTTTGAATTGAATGAAATTACACAACAAAGTTCTTGTTCTTATAATAAAAGAAATTTATTAGATTAGTTTACCCAACTCAAGAGTTGTTCAATAAATCTGTTGATTTGGAATTACAAGAAATATATCGAAGATATGGTGCTAGGCTAGCCAAAAATTAAAATTTATTAGAAACTTGGTCTAAAATTCATGAAAAATTAGCCTTGTATGATTACATTGGCAATAATATGGCAAAAAGAGGGATTGTTTACAATGGGCTTAATGGACAACAGGGATGAAATAGCTGTTGGGTGGTTAGGACACCCTATCTTTAGAGATAAAGAGAGGTGTGAACTTTTTATATATAGTATGCCTATTTTCTTGCTTGAAATTGTAACATCCTCAATTTTAAACCGAATTAATTAAGCTTGAGTTAGATTAACTAAGTGCATTAGTGAGGTGTGTGGCCATAAAGGCCTAACGTGCATGTTTGGTTTCAATTTTCAGCCCTATACATGGGTCTAAAGGAGAATCGGGTCACCTGGGAATACAAAGAGGAAGAAATTCTAAAATGGAAGGTTTTGTATCATGCGCCGCGGCTTGTGCCACCGCAGTGCTTATGTGCATTGCTGCGGTGCTTGTGCGCAACACGCTAGGGAGATGCTCTCTGTGCCATGTGTCGCGGCATATTGTGCTTCCGTCACAGCGCATGGTCACTTTCCTATTATCATAAGTTCATAAAATGAAGCAGAAAAAAGAGGAAGAATAAAGAAATGTGAGAGAGCAGCGGGGGAGCAGTGTTAAGGCTTGAAGAACTCAACTTTTAGGAGTATTTTAGAGTTTATAAATATTAAGGGTAAGCTTTCTTACTTAAATCCTTCTCTCTTCTTCCATTTTCTTAGTAGTAGAAGTTAGGGTTTGGTTGATAATGGTGATTTTCAGTCCATATAGGCTATAGGTTTGAACCCATTGACTTAAATAGAGTTAATAGAACTAGATTGAGCTAATGAAACTTGATATTTATGGAATTATGATGATTGGTAGTTGAGGGGCATTAAATGTCCAAAAACTCCCCATTAATGTGTTAGTTAGAACAATGTGTTTCCATTAATGACTATTAGAGAGCTCAATGATGTTAATGAGAATTAAAGGAAGCTAAGAAACCCTATAGGTACTTTTATATAAGGCAAGAATGAATCTTGAGCATTAAGAAGTGTTAAATTATTAGTGAAAATTAGCCCAAATGTGGATATTAATGAATTGCATTGTAAATGCTTGTAGAGTGACTATTTTTGACACCATTCTAGCTTCTTAGAAGATTTGGGAGTCAATAATTGAGGGGTGAAACCTTTGACCTCTTAAAGATTTAAGGTATCCGAGAAAATTTCATCTTGTATTTTTGTGTGTTAATTAATTTATCGATCAATATTTGATAATTGACTTGTGTGAGATTTGATTAAAATGAAAATGTGACTTTTTTTGTTTGAACGACCTACTATTGAAGTGGTGATTTAGTATAGTTCAATGATTTTGAAATTTTAGAGTTCAATGATTGCCAATGAGTGAGGTACGATAATTATGAAACATGGAGTGTAATGACTCGTTTAATTAAGAGTTTAATGATGTGAATTGTAAGTTAAATGATTAAATTGGAGTTCAATGATTTGTTTTATTTGGAGTCCAATGTTGTGAATGGTGATAGGGGTACAATGCTTGTGAATTGAAGGAGTTCAATGATTTATGTATTGTGGAGTTCAATGAAAAGTAAAGTTGAGGAGTTCAATGATTGAATTGTATTTGTTGATGTGATATTTATGTACGATGATGCGTTTGTGCATGCTTAACATTGAGTAATTGCATGCCTCAAAATTTTGTATAATATATGCATTGCATGATCATCAGAGGTGAGAGTTCACTTAGGAAGAAGAGTAGAGAATAAAGTTCATGTGATAAAGCTCCCATCCGAGTTGATGGCTTGCCTAGATTGATTATATTTATACTATCTCACTTGTTCAACGAGGGATTGTCCCAATAGTTCATCGAAGGACTCAAACTTAGCTAAGCATTCATTAGTTCAGCAAGGAAGCTAGTTTAAGAAGTATGACACCTCAGAGTGTGAGAAAATGGGAAAAAACCATATTTCATAAGTGAGTTCCCCTTATAAGTATTTAGGCTAGGGAAGTCCCAGATTATAGACTATCCCATTATATTATAGCCTATGGTTTCATGTCAAAGAAACAAGGAGGATACAAGGGAGGTGTGATCACGCATATAATGAGCAAAGGCACATGGTTGTCTATATTGTAACCCTAATGATGAATATCATGAATTGAGTCTTAATCCATTCCGAGTATATGTCATTTGATTGTGTGACAAACTCTCTTTTATATGAAAGCTGTTCAAAAGTATTATTTCATGAGTATTGTGCTATTATGCTTGGAAATGTGAATTTTTGCTCTTGAATGTTTTAGATGGTTTGGAAATTAATTATACTTACCACTTGCATTTAAAATTAATTAATATGTATTAGTATAGGTTAGTTAGACCTTAATTACTGAGTGGTTGTACTTACTCCATTATCTTCAATTACAGAAAATAGCTTAAGAAGATTGGATAGAGGAAAGCAACCAAAGGCTTAGGACTGTGATTATATTTAATAGGCCTCTTTATTTTTGAGTCATTATGTGTATGTGATAATTGAAATTGCCAACCAAGAATAGTCCATTTTGATTCTTTCTTGCATTACGTGTTTTGTAAATTGTAAGTGTATTTTGGGCCTTAAAGAGTCAGTTTATGAAATGTGATATTTGTAATAGGGCCAAAATACTAATGCAAGTAAAAGTTAAGCATGTTATGTGTTGATTTTGAATTATTTGATGAAAAAAAAATGCTTAAACTTTCCCTTGTATATTTTTGAGATGAAGGGATTGAGTAGTGAAATTGTGAATTATAAGTGTTTGACATGGCGTGGTGCATTACACGAGTTAGTTTTGGTATATTACTTGTGGTCTAAGTAGTGTCAATGGCTTTTGGCTTTTGGTGAATGACTTGGACACTTAGTTTTGTAGAAAAAGATTAAAAAAGTGCAAGTTTTGAAAAGAATGTCTAAATTTTTATGCGTAATAATTTGATTATAAGACTAAAGCTATTAGTTAGAGCTTGGAAATAGCTTTCCTTAGACACCTAGTTCGCGTCAATCAGATGTTAGATGGAAGAATGGGGCACGTCGAAAGTTACCCTAAAAGCTATGAAATGGATAGCAGAGTTTGTTGTCATGATACATGTAATGCGTCGTGACGCATAGTGCCACGAGCCGCAGCGTATGGCACAGAGGTGAACATGCCACCTTGCATGCCTTAATTTTTGCAAAATTACTTTCTTTTCTGATTCTTTTATGAATGCACCAATATTTGAAATGATCTCATGCTTCCATATAATTTGTAAACTCTGATTTGTTTCTTGCGAAGATCATTAGGAATGGTTTTAGTTTTGAAAACTTGAGACCCTAATTTTTTCACCCATTTGCAACTTGGTATTATGTTAATTATCTTAATCCCATGTCTTTATTAATTAAGATTTGGAGTTAATCAGGATTAGAGAAGGAGGATATTACAAAAATCATAATAAATGATTTTTAATCAATCAACAAGATCGAAAGAGTCAATTCAAATGCAATATACAATATTTCTTTCTAAAATTTGTTATGCACACAAAAATCAATAAACACCACAAGTGTACAAGTCGTAATTGTGGCTAATAATAAATCAAAGTTGATCCCATAAATAATTAAGTAAGATGGCAAGTGGGCATTAAATTCTCAATTTCATTCACATTAAGCAAGCAACTTATAGTGGTGAATGATTCAATTAAAAAATAAAAATGTAAAGTAAGTAACTAAGATTTTAAAGTACTCTAAAGTCAAGAAAACAATAAGGAAAACACCCTAAAGTTATAATCCCTTATTTGCGCCATTGTACTTAACTTACTGATTATATTGAATTTAATTTCAGTTTTAAGGGCTGAACACTACAATTAATCTTAAACATCTTCCAATTACTCAAAATTCAACCTAATTCTAACCTAATAATTTCTTGTCAAAATTAGATTAAAAGCATTAAGTTCAAATCCCTTCTAACCACTTAGATCCTTTAGGTATATTTCTATTCTAAAGGCAAATTAACTATAGTTAATCTTAAGCATTC